GTGGTGAAACGACCTTCGCCGAGTTCTTAGCTCACAGAACTCCAGCACTTCCAACATCCGGATCAGTTAAACTCATTTCTTGTAGGCAAAGGTATGGGGATTGTAATAGTTTTTATTTCGAGCAAAGGCGCTTTGTTTGAACCGAGATATGCGCTTTTGAATTTGAGAGTCAAAATCGGCGGAAACTTTCCAACAACCCAATATTATGACCCTTTGCAATGTATAAACACCCGAAAATTTGCCAAGTTTTTCTTACGAAGAGGATCCTTGTATATCATCATGTATCGATAAGCAAAGCTCAACCTCAAAAGTTCGGCCAACATAAACTCACCAGCGTCCTCGGCAAGAACTACAAGTTCGTAGGGTTGCTCTCGGGCTGCACCGGCCAGCTCTCCAGAGACCGTCAATTCTCCTGTTGAAGCGTCAATGGAGAAATCTGCAATGGGTTGGATTCCGTTTAGCCAAGAAAGGCTGTTCATTTTCTAATCTAGATTGGATTTTTCGATGGATTCTACTCCTTTTTTACTGCGGGCCCAGCTCGCACCAATGCCTTCATTTTTGGTTCCAAAGATCCTCCACCAATTTTTTCCTGCATTTCACAACAAGATGAATGACGAATGGTCTTGTTTCCTACCAACAATTATTTGCTAACTCTTCTTCACTGCATTCCTTTCAATTTTGTTCTGATTCATCCGTTGATTCTTCCTTCAGGAAAAACCCATTATTCATCGGGAACGGCGTGGGGTAAGTGACACTTTCGCGATTTGATTTCCTCATATGCCCTGCCTTCTGTGAGCGAAGGGTGGGGTAAGGAATGACTGTTCAGGCACCATGAAAATAGAGGTTCATGAAAGGAACTTCACCCATTCAAAAGAGGCAGTGAAGCGTCAAATAAGTTGGCATTCAAAACACTACATCATAAGATTTCTTCGAGGTTCACTGAGCATTTTGTTATGATTCCGGCTCAGCGCTGCCGCACAAAATTTCTTCTGGCAACTCACATTTCGAACTTCCTGACGCAAGCGAATAAATGACGCGAGCGTTTTTCCCAGCGTCGATGTCTGTAGCCTTCAGGCGGTCGACGACTATGCCTGTGGGCCAGTTGTCGACCACTTGCATGGCGTACTGATCTTGTAAGAAGCGAGGAGCATTGTCATTGACGTCCAGAAGCACGACGTGAAGCTGCAATTAGATTCATTGGGACTGGACTGACGCTTTCGTTGTCTTTGACTCAAATGCTCTGCATGAGGCAGCTGGCCACCGATGTCAAGGAAAGCTCTTACTGTAGCGGAATCCTGATTTCCTCCCCCATCTTGAACAGTCAAGTGTATCGTATGCCTCTCCATCATTTCACGATCGAGTGTCCCATTTTCAGCGACTGCCACTATTAATGATCCGTTCACCTTCACCCGTATGGAATGCGATATTAGGAATGATCAAGGGTGCAGAGGGGGGGGGGGGGGGAAAAGAAAAAACTCGTACAATAGAGGCGGAGTAATTCGCTACCTGCCGGACTTCTCACCGAAACTCGTCCACATTGCCTAATCCGTCGTTATCGATAACTTGAAGACGTGCGATTACTGTTAGTGGTGGAAGATTTTCAGGAAGTGGAAGCTGAAAATTTGCTCTCAGTTTTTTTCAGGTTTTTTTTTCAGGACACGTCTATAGAGTTTTAGGGGACCTCATGACTAACAAGACCCTTCGAAACTTTCTTTAGTTTTGTTCAAAGTGATCGGTAAACTTGGCAAGATTTCCGAAAGGATCACAAATTAGATTCGATTGGCAGCTTTGCTCTCAAGCGTGTATGCTCAAAGGGATAGAGTACGATATCTTGAGGTACACTAGTGATGATGGCCAATGGAGTCGAAAACCAGGAAAGAGATTGATGTGGCGTGAGAGAGACCACGTCGTTTGAGAGAGACGCTGATCTCTACATCAATGCACGCTGATCTCACCACATCTCTCGCGGTGGGTGGGAAGCGTTGGAACGGGTCGATGGTTGCAGGCCCGTAAGGATTAGCGCCCTAACCGCGCAATTTTTGCGACGAAGCTGGAGTGATCTAGGTAGGTACGGACCTTACAATTTCCCTCGTGGTATCCCTCCTACTAGTCGGGCCAATCCCGGGGTTTGCCTTTAATCTTTCTGTATTGTATCATAGAAAAACGAGATAGCCCTAGCCATGAGCTACTATTCACTTTCCTAGCCACAAGCTAGTCCACCGTGCAAAACAAAAGGGCAGAGGCAGGGTCCAATCCCTCGGTTTTCCTACCTTTTTCTAATTTCTTCTTCATTGCCACACTTACCACTTTTACCTGCCTATTTACCAGGTATCAAGTTACCGTGATCGCAGCCTTGCGCTATATTCCAACCGATGTCACTCAACCCTTAAGTGGGATCAGCTAAAAAGCTCTGAATAAAACTCGGCAAGACCTCTACTGGGCATAAAAGCCGATGTAAGAATTTTGTTTAATTCACGTTGATACCATGTCGAGAAAAGCAAACCTCATTATTAAGACCCTCTTTCTCAATTATGGGTGCGTTGTCGTCCATGTTCACAACAGTGATCCTCAGCTCCGCAACCGACTCATAACCGTTTGAGCCGGCTGTAAATTTCAGCGAAAAAGTGCGATCGGAAGGAGTCATGGTGTCCACGTCAAGGCGATGGGAAATGGAAATCGCTCCTAAGCGAGAAATTTTCGAGCATTTTTGGAAAACATGATTGAAAACGCGTACCTGTTGTAGGGTCCAGCTCAAACGCCTCTTTCATGTCGCCCTCCATCGTGGTCGGAACAACTGAGCCATCAAGGGGGTTAACAGCAGGCAAAGTGTAGATCACGTGCCCTTCGGGTAGCTCTTCCGGGATGTTCAGCTGTAATGAAATTAGGTGTGCTCGGACACTGTTGTCAGGTGGTAGATCTCACCTCAATAGTCGGTGTTCCCTTGCTCCACGGCCGTGGAAACGCTGGTCGTGCAGATTCCTTTCGGCGATTTTCTATGAACTCTGCCGAAGAAGTTAGAGAAAGCATCACCAGCGCTGTAAATGGTATTGAAGAACTAGTATGTTTACTAGCAGGGACCTATCCCTGTCTACCACAACTATTACATAGCTCAACCACTTCTTCATTTTTTTCCTATTTACCAGCGTTTAAAGTCGCTAACTCATGCTCAGCCATTTTTGAGTACTGTGGAAACTTCCGTCAAGCTTCCTCTCGATTCACTGCTTTTCTACTCATCTTGGCACTTAATCAGAGTCTGTCGATGAATCCTTGAGAAGGGGAAGGGCGGGGAGAAGGAACGGGAAATGAAGGAGAGAACGTCCCCATCCCAGTTTGACTCTACGTCCAGAGAGGCACTGGAAGGTTGAATGTGTCGTTTTCAAGAAAGTAATGTGATATTCAGAAATCTTTCTGGGACTTTTGAAAGAGTTTGAAGTTTCTGAAACTTTTTGAAATTTGCGTTCACCCAGTTGCATTTCGTAGTTAGATATAATTGACCGTCACTTTATCGAAGGGTTAGCAGCCCAGGAGGTGGCAGTGCGCCCAAAAAACACAGAAAAACCGATTTGTGAAACCCGGGGAATGAGACCCAAACTCTTCTCGGACTTTTGTACGTTTTTTTCAGCATTCCCTTGTCGTCTGCGGAGAGTTCAACAGTGCGGCTAATACAGACACAGATACGAAGTTTTATTCTTTTTCAAATAGCTTTTTGCTCTTTTGAAACTTTCGAGTTTTTGGAATTTTCGAACTTTCTGAACTTTTGGAATTCTTTTGAAATAAAATTTTGGTGCCTCTCTGTGTTATACAATATTTAGGTGCTGATGAGGCTCCGGGACAGCACAATATTAAGAGATTTCGTAAATTGTAGAAAGGGAAACCTTTGTAAAGTTACGAGTCGCTTTTGCCTCACCCCAAGTTGAAAGATGGCCCCTCAAACAAGGTCCACCGTTTCCTGACTTCCTACAAGTAGACGTCTTTCATGTCGATCTGTCGTGCCACTCGTCTTGAAAACAACTCACCAGCAATTTGGCCCGCTGCCCTTATTTTACTTGCAACTTTCCTACTTTTCATGTGCGTTTACTTGTTGAGTTCATTGTGTCGCTGTTTACCATACCACCGCAAATATTTGTTCACAGATGGACCCTTCGGATAATTCAAAACCCAACTATGACTAGTGAAAGGGGATCAGTCAGATGGCTCATGCGTGCCGAAACAAATGTTTCCCCTGTGGGGGGAATGAAATGGAAGCTCCAGTCGAAAAGGCTGTGGCTCAAGTCTTCATAGGTCAAACCTTTTTCTCCCTCGGACACCAACTCGACGCTGACCGCTCGAAGATCTGCGAGTGAGTTCTTTTTGAAAACGACGGAATGCTTCTTCAAAATGATGTCGCTCTGAAAAAAAGCACAATAACAAATTTTTCATAGAGTTACGCTGCGAGCCTAAAACTACGAACCATATCGAAATTGCTCTGCTGGCCGTTCTCGTCGATAGCAAACACTGACTCAAGGCGCACTTCGCCTAGCTTCTTCATCTTGAAGGGTACGGAGAACTCGGTGGTTTCCTCTGAATTATCAGTTCCTTTGCAAGCCCCGCCAGGAAAAGCAGCAGACAGAACGAACCTCGGTCCAGGGTTCGTCGGAAAAAGCTCTGAGAGAACATCTTTTTCTCGGCTTCAGGCTCCTCCCACGACCTTGATTTCCAATTGAGTCTGCGCCAGCAGTGCGTTGCTTTGCCGATCGACAGCTCCAATATCTACCAAGTACGTGCCGGATTCCACAGGACTGAAACATTGCCAAATTTACCCAAGCTGCTCTCGCGTGGCACTTCGTCAGAAGATGAACGATCGCCTTAGCTGCTTTCAAAGCTTCGAGCCATCCTCTTCTCGCTTGAACATTCTATGGAAAAGTTAGAAAGGGCCGCTTTCATTACCTCACTAGAATGCCAAGCCCTCCAGTAAAATGTATCAATGCGCTAATCCATTCAGTACTCTGAGGAGGTAAGGGATAGGACCTGATGGAGAGGCATAGGTAGCACAAAAATCGTCGTTGCAAATATTTTGACGAAATCAAGGGTTCGATCGATGTATGAAAATGGAACTTCAAGGGTCGAGGGAGCTGTACCTCATCAGAACTCTCTCTTCAGTGATGTTTTCTCGTAAAACACGGAAGAGCTGAGCTCTTAAGCGGCTTTCTACACATTACTCCTTTGGAGGCACATATCGCCCCAAGGATCTGGCTACTCAGTTCGAAAGTGAATCTGCAGGTAGGGAAAGAACCGCTGGTGAAGGAAAGTCAAAACCTTCTACCGGTAGCTCTAAAAAATCTAGAATTTCTCGGAGGTATACAGTGGTATGACAGAGAGTGGGCGACAAAGGAACAGAATGGAGAGCTTGACAGCAATCGAGGCGCAGATATACTGGTGTTTTAAAAATATCAGCCTAGACACTCGCAATCAAGAAATGGTTACAGCGCCCTTGTTGCAAAGTTTCAACAAACGAGAAAAAGATCTCATTCTCTTCTTTTGGAACAGCCCATTTCAGACGACGCTCTTCCCCTCATACTTTGGGCGGACTGGCAATGCGTACTGCTTACACGTCGCCACAGTCACTTCCCTTCTGTGCTTACAAGTGGAAGTTGAATTTGCATTTCCTCTTTTCGCTCGTACTACCGATCTCTCCACACAATTCTACTGAACCATCACAAGGTGGATGAGGTTAAGGAATGTCGACCACGCCCTAAATCTTAAGCATACGCAACACTACTCATGGAGAGGCTTGTCATCCACCTCCATCGTAAAGTGTGCCTTAAAAGGACGCTCATCATTCTAAAACGGAAATTCGCTTGAACTTCGTCCTTATCACCTCAAACATCATTTGTAAGAGCATGTAATGATGTGAAAAGGTGATTGATTAAATTTTTGGATTGATCCGACGGCGCCTCCATAATCGATCGATCGTGTAAAGCCATCCTGGATTTCCCTGAAGGATCACGAAGCGAGCCTCGTCAATGGGAACACCTTCCAGTTCCACTTGGAGCAGTTGATTACCTTCAGAAGCAGTATTTATAAATTATTAAGAAAACTGAAAAAAGGGATTCTGACCCTGGTCGCACTTTGTTCCGCGCAGTAATTGGTCCGAATACTTTAGTTCTTCTGTAAGGACGCGCGAGATCGCGAAATTCTGAAGAATAATCAGATACATATCAACATTAACCCTTTCGGCCCTGGCGGTGGCAATTGCCACCACCAAATTCAAACGCTTGCATTGCCGCTGAAACAGCATGGTTTTTCTAATCCTGCTAGAGGTTGCTTCAGTCAACCTTCCCCTTCCTAATTATGAGCTGAACCTGCCATTTCATTGTGTGTTGCTGTTAGTATTACAAGTATTTGTGTACAAGTGCAACAATGAATGGGCGCTGACCCCCGCAACCGGCCAAGTAAGTGTGACTTTTTCTTAAAATACTTGAAGTAGATCCATTCCTAAATCAAAATTATGGGTTATAATGTTATGCAAGATTATAAACTTTTTCGGCATAACTATGAAATTTCGAATTGTTTCGACATAAGCTTAAAAACTAAGAAGGTGGCCAATTTTCAAAGCTTCTTAGTTTCTTTGTTTGTGATCGAATAGCTTCCAAATTTCGCCATAATGATACCTATATGCTCACAAGTAATAAACAATAGCTAGAAGAAAAATTTCTCCACGGGGAAAAATTCAGGTCCGAAAAGGTTAAAGCAACAATCCAGGAACGAATTCGCGGGTAAGGACCACCTATAATGACGTTGCAGGTGAGAAGTTGGTCAATGGAGAAAGAAAAAGTAGAAAAAAACGTCGGGCAGGGGCTTAGACAGGGACTCCCCCTGCCGTTTAGGGAGACGTGTGTTGGACGAGTTGTCCGAACCTGCCCGTAGTACATGCGCTCCAGTTGACTGCTGGCAAATAGCCATGCATGCTTGCAAATACATAACTATTTGCCAGCAATCGAAATTGAAGCGCTTCAATTGGGTTCTTATGGAATCGACCTCATACAGCGCGGCGGTCCCGCAACGACCGCTAGTCGAGCAAGCGCTCTGCACAGCGAATGTTGGGCGATCCGCCTCTTTATGGGTGATCCGCCCCCTCCAAGAGGACTTCGACCCCTTCCAGCGCATTTTAGAGGTAGGTTTTGAAATTAAAGACATTTCCTATAAACTTTAGTTGGGCTGGGGCATGTTTTGACCGCCTAATGACCAAGTAGTTGAAACCCTGCCTGGACTGTTGCTTTAAAAATGCTACTAAGTTCGTATAATGTATGCTATACGAAGCACTTCGTACGCGTCAACTGCGCTCGAAGACTCTCCATCAGAAACGGAGTGAATTCTTACACTGATGCTGTGACGGTTGGCGTCGAAACCGACGACCACGAATCTGCCCAGACGAAAATCCTAGCTTTTGGTCGCAATTATCTAGGTGAGGTGATACGGACCTGATAAAGATTCGCTGAAATCTCCTTCACGCCCAAGAAACTGGCGGCACTTCCTGACAGGGTGAGATGATTTTTGTTCGAGGTTGGCTCGTCTGCGTCAAGCACCTAGAAAATCGTATGTATGTAAAGAGTGTTTCAATGGACACTCTTATTTGCTTTCTTTACTCAAGACTTAGATATCTTTGTTTACTCCGAACAAGTTTGTGACGGTAGGAATGCGCTTGAACTCAACTTCGGCTTAGAAAATCTGTTTTTTTTCCTCACAACTGCATATAAAGAATATGGATCGCACTATTGGTGCGCCATTTTGTTTGAAAGGTGTAAGTACGGAGTTCAATGTGGAATGAGTAAGAAGCAAAAAGCGTCACAGAAAGCACTGCAATTTCCTTTGTGACGTCGGCCGTGGTATGATGGAGAGACACAGAGCTGCGAGGAGAGGGAAAACGCAGGATAGTACGTACATACGTCATATGCAAGAAGGCGCCGACGTCACATATGCCGTGATTGGTAAGGATGGCCGCACCGCAGTACACAGGGCAACGCCTTAGTACAGTTCCCTCGTACTTGGACAACGTCAACGCTCGTGAGCTTGGGATCCACGTTTTTCGCACTAGGTTAGGGCCACTTTCTTTGGACACAGTGGTCCCGACCTGTCTGCTCTGCATGTCACTATCGAGCTATCAGCTCATTCGAAGCGCTCTCATCCAATGTGTTGAAGGTGGATTGACCATATCAAAGACTTCTATGGGGGAGCTTTCCGAGCTTCTATGGACGCTACGATTGAAGGGCATAGGTATTCTATCAAGTCGAAGAAAACAATTACCAAAATCTGTCATGTAACATTCAAAACGCTGAATTGTGAGGCGTGATAAAGTTGAGACGAGGAGGTGCAGGCGCAAATTATGTGACTGAAGCAATTTCTCCGCATTCAGCATTTAAATTTGTCTGGATAACTTTGCTTACATGGGGATTATAAGGATGACTCATCACCGTAGATTGTCACTGCGCGGGACTGAATAATAACTAGTTTCGCTTGCAGTTCTTTTGCCCACTCTGACGCTTATGTCTCTTGGAAAGTTGACGTAGCACTTTTGTCTACATATTCATGACTGGTATTCTTCACCCCATCGGCTTATGTAAGCCTCCATCCCCGAACGTCTGGAGACCCATTAACCCATGTTCAATTCTCCAGGCGATTTCCAAGAGATTATTTGTCACCAATAGCTAGGCATTTCAGAATAAACGAGGTGATTTGGCTGTAGGTGAGGAATCCTTTCTTGATAATGGGGTTTCTAAGTACAGATCCTAGCTCAGCCAGTTAAGTTACTCTGTTAGAATGAATGGCATAAATGACGATTTAGTTACTTGGGACAGACGTAATGAATGTTGTCAGAATCTGTCGAGTTCGAGGCTGATGATCACATCTTGCACCTTTGACTTCACATAAACTGGGTTGCAGTTTTTCTTGCCTGAACATAGATTTATATTATTTTACTTAATGAATTCAGTATTTTAACTTCATTAGTACACGAGCGGACTTATTGTGCACTGTATATAAGTAAATAAATAATAAATAAATAAATAAATAAATAAATTTCAGTGCAAAGATCAGTTAATGCACTAGTAGCTTTTTAGCGGCCTACACGTTCAGGAGAAAAGAAAAAGGAGCGTACCCTGTGCATCGACAAGCAACACAATTCGATGCATCTTCTGTTCTCATAGTCGAGGCAGCTGTCCTCGTTTGGGCACGAAAGAATCAGGTCAGATCCAATAAGAGAAAACCTGCAACATGTATTTTCTTCCTGCTTACAAAACAGTGATGTTTCCCGGAAACTAGTTTGGAGTAGCTCATGACTCTGCCATTTCATGCAAATCTACTCACAGTCCTGGGGGGCCGACTACTCGCTTTGACCGCGCCGTCTTTTATTTGTCCAACCGTTGAGCCAGATGGCGCGTCCTCTGCGATGGAAAACTCGTATTCTTCGACAACATTCTAAAATCAAGAACACTAGAGCGTTCAACGAGAGACGTAATGAGAATGCATATGCAGTGTTCAACACTCTTCACAGCTTGACGTTCACCTCAGAATTAATATCGTAAAGTAGTCGTATTATAACTTCGTATAATGTATGCTATACGAAGTTATTACGACTTCCGCGCAAAAATGATGTGTATTGCTTGCAGCGTGCCCTTGTGCGTATCTTATTTTACTCGATACCCTTCACATGACATATTATGTTGCCCTTATCAAATATTTTTGTAAGAATTTCCGAAAATGTAGGTGGTTCCATAATTATGCGGTTACCCTAAAATTTTGCATTTATGGAACAGGCAGCTTACAAGGAATTTTCTATACCATCAACTGCCACCAAAGTGATAGCCCCTCTATCATTATTTTTTCAACAGCAGCTTTTCTTCTAGCTTCTTTAGAATTAGTTTTCGATAATTGCACCGTTTCATAATTATAAGGTCACCCTGAGAAAAAGAACATTTAGCCTAAGATTAATGACAGACAGAGCTAATAATCTATGGTTCCCCTTTACGACATCAAACATCCTCCGTGGTTTACTGGAATTGAGATTCAGGGGCCTGACTGTTGGTTCACTTCCACCCGCGTAAGATTTTCTATCGAGAAGCGATTAGAACGTCAGAATAAGCTGCTCAGATCATTTGGGTTTTGAGGGTGCTGTCGCTTGTGGTTGCGTCACTTACAGGAGCACCTGCACTGTTTGTAAAAATACGAAGTGTAGGCGACGTCGTCGGCTCAAGAAAGAGATCGATTGCCCTTGAAAGGCTTCATGATAATCTTTGGAGTCCATTATGTTGGGAAAAATTCCGGCAAGAAACCACTACAGAACGCACATACACTTCTACATCTCCTTCACTGAAATTGCAAGCGCTGAAGTGAATCTGTCCACCTTCACAAGTCACTTCAAAACTGTTTATATCCACGGGAACTAATTGAATAAACCAGTTTGTTTGAGCAATGCCAACCTTACTAAAATTATCTAGCTATGTGGTGCAAGATGGCGGAAGTGGTGTAGTGGCAAGTGGCACGCTAACCACGCAGCGGTCCGGGAATCATGGGTCGTGAGTCGCCCGGGCCAACCAAGCCTTCCATCCCTCCGGGGTCGGTTAAAGCAAAAGACTTCGATAAAGTATGCATTCAGCTTGAACTAACATGCACCAGTGAAAGCGGTAGTCAGG